CTTCTGCTTTGTAAAAACCTCTCATAAGCTACCTTTTTCTCTTTTATCACACCCTTTACTTCATCATTCCACCAATCACTCCTCTTTCCTCCTGCCCCCACCCTCCTATAACCACAAACTTCTGCCCACATTCTAATACTGCATTTTTAAAACTATTCCAACCCTCTTCAACCCCCCCACTACTCATCTTTGCACTAGCCCACCTTTCTGCCAATAGTCGCTTATATCTCACCCGAACTTCCTCCTCCCTTAGTTTATACACTTTCACCTCCCTCTTACTTGTTGTTGCCACCTTCCTCTTTTCCCATCTACCTCTTACTCTAACTGTAGCTACAACTAAATAATGATCCGATATATCAGTTGCCCCTCTATAAACATGTACATCCTGGAGCCTACCCATCAACCTTTTATCCACCAATACATAATCTAATAAACTACTTTCATTACGTGCTACATCATACCTTGTATATTTATTTATCCTCTTTTTCATAAAATATGTATTACTTATTACCAAATTTCTTTTCTACACATAGCTCAATTAAAGGCTCCCCATTTACATTTACCCCTGGCACCCCAAATTTACCTACTACTCCCTCCATAACATTTTTACCCACTTTAGCATTAAAATCCCCAACCACCATTACTCTCACACTTGATTCAAAACTCCCCACGCATTCACTCAACATTTCCCAAAATCTCTCTCTCTCCTCTACACTTCTCTCTTCTCCAGGTGCATACACGCTTATTATAACCCACTTTTCACATCCAATCTTTATTTTGCTCCACATAATCCTTGAATTAATACATTTATAGTCCCTCTTTTCCTGCCATAGCTTATCCTTCAACATTATTGCTACTCCTTCTTTAGCTCTAACTCTATTTGAAACCCCTGACCTAATCCCATTTATTCCTCTCCACTGAAACTCTCCCACCCCCTTCAGCTTTTGTTTCACTTAAAAGCCAGGACATCCAGCTTTTTCTCATTCATAACATCCACAATCATCTCTTTCTTACATCTGCACAACATCCACGCACATTCAGACTTCCCACTTTGAAAATTTTTTCTTCTTCTTATTCTTTTTAGTAATCTTTACAGGAAAAGGGGTTACTAGCCCATTGTTCCCGGCATTTTAGTTGACTTTTACAACACCATGGCTTACGGAGGAAAGATTCTTATTCCACTTCCCATGGATATAAAAGGAAAATTAATAAGACCAAGAACTATTAAGATAAAATCAAAGAAAACTCAGATGAGTGTGTATAAATAAATGTGTACATGTATGTGTAGTGTGACCTAAGTGTAAGTAGAAGTAGCAAGACATGCCTGTAATCTTGCATATTTATGAGACAGACAAAAGACATCAGCAATCCTACCATCATGTAAAACAATCACAGGCTTCGTTTTACACTCACTTGGTAGGACGGTAGTACCTCCCTGGGTGGTTGCTGTCTACCAACCTACTACCTCAGTAAATCATGATGGGGTTTTGTTTAGGCCTGCTGCTGTTATTGAAGGATCTTTCAGTACCTCCCTCTTTAGAAGGTTATCATTAGTACATATCATTAACCTATCCGGGTGTCAGTTTCTTATTGAAAATAGTGTTATGAGGTAGATCGTGAAGAGCAGTGACGATAAAAAAAAATTGTGTATTTCCCGCTACTAGTACGAGTCCAAATCTTGCTTGTCGGCACTTTTTTCTTTGCCCATGTAAGAATGCAGGTATTTTCCTCAACATTGAGTTAAGTAGTAACTATTGTATAGAAAATAAAGGCTAAAGATGACAGTGGGGTCAAACAAGACAAAAAGAACACTGAATACCTTTACCTTTGAAGTTTCGAGAGTTTAACTACTCTTGGAGCCCGGCCATGGGCCAAGCTCATCTGGTGCTTGTTTGATCAACCATACTGTTGCTGCTGGAGGCCTGCTGTCCCACATATCACTCACAGCCTGGTTGATCTGGCACCTGGTGAAGATACTTGTCCAGTTTCCTCTTGAAGGCTTCTACACTTGTTCCAGCTATGTTTCTGATATCTTTTGGTAAGATGTTGAATAGCCTGGGACCCTGAATGTTGATACAGTGTTTGCTTATTGTCCCCACTGCACCCTTGCTCCTCACTGGGTTTATTTTACACTTCCTCCCATATCTCTCACTCCAGTATGTTGTTATGGCAGTGTGCAGATTTGGGACCAGGCCCTCGAGTGCTTTCCAGACATATATTGTCATGTATCTCTCTCTCCTCCGCTCCAGTGACTATATGTTCAAGATTTGAAGGCATTCCCAGTAATTTAGGTGCTTTACTGGCTCAGTGCAAGCGAGCTGTAAATGATCTCTGTATTTGTTCCAGCTCTGATATTTCTCCTGCTTTGAATGGGGCCGTCAGCACTGAGCAATATTCTAAATGAGGGAGCACTAGTGATTTGAAGAGTGTCACCATCGGCATTACTTCCCTTGTTTTGAAAGTTCTCAATTCCCACCCTGTCATCTTCCTGGCTGTCATGATCTTTGTCTTGTTATGTTCCTTAAAAGAAAGGTCAGCTGACATAATTATTCCCAGGTCTTTTACATGTTCGTTTCGTTCTGTTCGGTGACCCTCTTGAGTTTTGTATATAGTGCTCCTTTTGAGTTCTTCATTCTTTTCCATACCTAAGCAACTGGAACTTATCACCATTAAACATCATGTTGTTCTCCACTTGCCACTGGAAAACCCTGCTTATGTCTTCCTGTAATTTTTCAGTGTCCTCTACTGTAGTGACTTTCATGCTTATTTTGTTGTCATCTGCGAATGATGATACAGAAGTATGATGGGTGTTTTTATCTATGTCTGCTATGAGGATGAGAAACATCAGAGGTGCCAGGACAGTGCCTTGGGCACTAAGCTTTTTACCACGCTGATGCTGGATCTTGCTCTGTTTACTACGACTTGTTGTGTTCTGTGTGTTAGGAACCTGAAAATCCATCTGCCTACCTTCCCTATAATGCCCATGACCCTCATTTTGTGTACTATCACTCCATGATCATATTTGTGAAACACCTTTGCAAAATCTGTGTAAATCACATCAGTGTTTTGGTCTTCTTCCATTGCTTCTGTAATTCTGTCATAATGGTTCAGCAGCTGTGACAGGCATGATTGTCCTGCTCTAAAACCATGCTGGTTGTGCTGGTCCATGAAATTTGTAATCTGGTGTCTCATCTCACTTGCTAAGATTTTTATGATATGAAAGGTTAGGGCTACTGGTTTGTAATTTTTAGCTAGTACTCTACTACCTCCCTTACGCAAAGGAGCTATGTCAGTCTGCACTCTCTAAGGCCTCTGGTATTTCACCGATATCTAAGCTCTTTCTCCAAGGAATACTGAGGGCTCGTGCTAGTGGTACTCTTTCTTCTTTATAAATAGAGCATTCCATGAATCTGGTCCCGGTGCTGAGTGAGTGGGCATGTTGTCCATTTTTTTTTGAAATCTATGGGATTTGTACTAATGTCAGTTAGTTGGTCTGTGTGGTCTGCTGGAGTGAAAAATATTTCTGCATTTTCAACCTTGCTGTCATTTAGTGGGTTGCTGAACATTGACTCATACTGTTCTTTTAGGATTTCACTCATTTCCTGTTCATCGTCAGTATACAATTCTCTGACACACAGAGTGAGTCTGCTCTTTGGGGGGGTAGAAGCTGATATGGAAAACATTCATACACTAGAGGGGTTGTCAGAAACCATCAGAGAAGCTTTCAGGAATTAATTATAGAAGTCCAGCACAGTTAATGAGGAGCCATTTTTCAGACTGCTACATAGGCATGCAACCAAATGTCGTTTCCAGTTCCTGTATTTTGAGTGTCTTTCATCCAGTTGTTTTTGAAGTTTAAATGTGTTTACTTGATCTCAAATTTTAGCATACAAAAAACTCCAGCTCCAGAACACCTTCATTAAGTTGAACTGCAGGCTCTGCTGATGTACTTGGCTGTATTTACATTTGATGTCATACTTCAGGGACTCTCACACTGGCCATAAGTTTTACCTATGTTTGAGAGGGTTGAATGCCAGCTCCTGAGTTTCTTGATTGTGTTGAACTGTAGCTTCTTGTCTTCTTTAGTGCTAAGCTCTAGTTCCTGGTCCTTTTAAGGTTGTGGGCTACAACTTCTGCACTGGTTAATTCGGAGCACAGTGACCATAATAAATAATAAGTCTTTGGTATGTATTTCTAGTGTATTTTAAATTAAATATTAAATGTTAGAAGACATTGGGAGGAGGGTTATGAAAGGGTATTTTCAGGTCAGCATGGGTTCAGAGCAGGTTGTACCTGCTTCTCACAATAGCTTGACCATTATGACATGGTCTTGGATGTACTGGAAGACAAGCAAAATGCAAATGTACCATGGTTTACACAGACTTTGCAAAAGCCTTTGATAAGTGCTACCATTGGACAGTTGTTCACAAAATGTGCATGAAGAGAATAATTGGAATGGTGGGTAGATGGGTACTTAACTTTCTAATAGAAACCAAAGAGTAATATTGAACAGAGTAAAATCAAAGGCTGCTACAGTGAAGAGTTTTGTTCCCCAAGACAGAGTACTTGCCCCACTTTCCTTTCTCATTCTCATATTGGTGATATGGACATAACCCATAGAGCACTGTATCATCCTTTGCAGGTGATACTAGAATCTGCATGAGAATGGCAGCCATATTTACCAAGTCTTCCAGTGGTCTGCTGACAACAATATTATGGTTAACATGGACAAATTTCAGTTGCTACTTTATGCAAAGACTGAGGAAATAACAAACAAGATTGGAGTACAAGATGCACTCAAATCACTCAGTAGAATGTGAATCTAATGTGAGAGACCTGAGAGTGATAATATCAGACGATCTCCCATTCTAGGAGCACAACAATGCCATTATTGCATCTGAAAGGAAAAGAAATGATTGGTTGGAAAACTAGAACTTTCAAAGCAATAGATGCCAAGCTAATATTGATACTCTTTAAGGTTGGAATACTGTTGTGTACTAATGGCCCCCTTCAAAGTAGGCAAAAATTGCAGAACTGAAAAATGTACAAAGAACCTTCACAGCTCATATAAACTCAATCAGGTACCTAAATTAATAGGAGCACTGAAGTCCCTTGAACTGCACTTCTTAAAAAGTAGGTGAGAAGATGCATAATAATTTACACCTGGAAATTCTGGAGGGCTTGGTCTTTTACCTGCTCACTGAAATGACTACACATAAACACAAGATGATTCAAGATACCTCTGGGGAAGAGCAGAGGTACAATGAGAGAAGTAAGTAAGTGTAAAGAGACCATGGCTCTTCAACACCCTCCCTTCATGCAAAAGGGTTATCACCAACAGACCCCTGACTGTCTTCAAGAGGGAACTTGACAAATTCCTCAAATGAGTTCCTGATGAGTGAGGCTGTGGTGCATATGTTGGACTGTGGGTGCCAGCAGCCTGATCGATCAGTCCAGCAACTGGGAGGCCTGGTCTGGGGTGTGAGGGCAGTGACCTCCAGAAGTGATTACAGATAACCTATGATGTAGAGGAAGGATTGTTGAGGTGGTTCGAGAATTTAGAGGATGAAGCAGAATAGGAAGACCCAGGGGGTATATAAATCCAGGGTGAAAGGAAAGAAGGGTAGGTGGTCATCCCTGGTAAGGGTGGAGGAAGCGTGTGAATGGGTGGTAGGACTTTAAGCATCCAGCAGGCATGCGAGTGTGTTAGATCAGGGAAAGTGGAGACAAATTATTTTAGGAATTTGATTTGCTGTTGGAATGTGAGCAAGGTAACACTTATGAAAGGTTTGACAGAAACTGATTAGCCAGACTCAAGTTCTGGAGGCGGGAAGTACAGTGTCTGTAATGTGAAGGTTGGATGAGAGTGTTATAGCCTGGAGGTCATTTGAATCGTGATGTATGTATACTTATGGCAGGACAGCTGTTGAATGAATGAATATCAATATTTTATGTTTTGGGTCATCCTACCTTGGTGGGAACTGGCTGACGTTAACAAAAATTATTCTGATGTATAGGATCTTAAATGCACTGTTATTTTATTTCCATTGTTACTTTTAATAGAGGATGTAGTTAATTTATCTTTTGGCCACACTAGGTATTCTTGGTATTATGTTAATTTATGGCTTTCTACACATACACACAAATAACACATTAACATTGCTTGGCATCCTAAAATTTATATTGGTCATAAGGTTTCATGTCAGAATGTACTGTACATATCAAGGGTGGTGGCACATTGTCTAAGGAAAATCATTGTTTTATTAATTTTTGATCTAGAATAAAACTTTTAATGATTTTTTTTATTTTATGCCTGATTCATTTTCATTATACTTTTTTATATAAAAACATTAATATGATTTTAGCTTTAATAGTTTTTTTAAATTTTGTTAAATCTAAATATCAGACCAGTTTCTCCCAATATATTAACATGTAAAAGAAATTAAAGATTTATATAGTCTTCCTGTATTGGTGCGTTAAATCATTTTCTAATTATCTAGTACCTCGGTCAGGTCCACCCAATCCCGACACGTTACCTGAAGATGGTAAACTCAAGTCCGAGACTATGGTGAAAGACAACAGACGATACTACCTAGACCTCAAAGAAAATTCAAGAGGGCGCTTCCTAAGGGTGAGTTTGGTATGTTTTCATGTCTTATGAACAGCAAATTATCATGAAGCTCCTTTCTAGGATTTGTTTTACTTATTTTAATGATCCTAAATTTTAAAAAAAAATGCTGAATGGATATTGTAGCTAACATATTTTGGGTGTAACATTACTTGACCTTCCTTCATACAGGACATAAATATGACTTGAGTAATGTTTAATTACGTACTTACTAATGTATTCCTGGTACCATTATGTCTTCAATCTGCAGAAAGAGGTTATTAGGTAAGACACATATGCAACAATTAGGTATTTTTATTTCGAAACGTTTCGCCTACACAGTAGGCTTCTTCAGTCGAGTACAGAAAAGTTGATAGAAGAGACGTGAAGATGATGTAATGAGTCCGTCACCCTTGAAGTTTTGAGGTGGTCAGTCCCTCAGTCTGGAGAAGAGTATCGTTCCATAGTCTGAAACAATATGCTATTAAAATGGTATAAAATACCGACAGGTTGTTAGGTAAGACACACATGCAACAGTTAGGTTGCAGGAGGAGGTGATGTTCATTATTTTGTGCACAACCATGTAAACACATGCATGCCCATGCACACACGTACACATACGTGTACACATACTTACACAAGCATGCACACATACATGTGCACATATGTACATATGTATATGTAAGTGCACGTACGTACACATGCATGCACACGTGTGCACATGCATGTGCATGCACACACATGTACACATGTGCACATACGTATGTATATGTATGTGCATGTATGTACACACAACATGCTCACATGTGCATGCATGTGTATGCACATGCACACATGTGCATTCATGTGTGTGCACACATGTACACATGCACATATGTACATGCATACACACGCATGCACACATACACGTGCACGCACATGCACACACACGTCTAATCGACATGCGCGTAGGACCAAATGGTAACTAACATGCACACAGAACTTGAAGCCACATGGGGGCCAAGATACATGGAGGGCTAAGATGATGGAGGTGGTACTGGAAAACTTCATGTACCAACACGTAAGGGACACTACAAGAGAGAGAGGAGAGGATGAAAAAGCAAGACTGGACCTAGTATTCACCTTGAGTAGTGCAGATATTGAGGACATCACATACGAAAGACCCCTTGGGGCCAGCGATCATGTGGTTTTAAGCTTCGAATACACAGTAGAGCTACAAGTGGAGGGGGAAGCAGGAAGGCCAGGGCGAATGAAGCCAAACTACAAGAAAGGGGACTACACGGGAATGAGGAAGTTCCTGAACGGGGTTCAGTGGGACAGAGAACTGGCAGGGAAGCCAGTTAGTGAGATAATGGAATATGTAACAACAATGTGCAAGGAGGCTGAGGAGAGGTTTGTACCCAAGGGTGACAGGAATAATGAAAAAGCCAGGATGATTCACCAGAGGTGCAGGGAGGCAAAAACCAAGTGTGCTAGGGAATGGAAGAAATATAGAAGGCCATTGACCCAGGAAAATTAGGAGAGCAGTCGTAGAGCCAGAAATGAATATGCACAGATAAGAAGGGAGGCCCAACGACAATACGAAAACGACATAGCAGCGAAAGCCAAATCTGACCCGAAGCTGTTATACAGCCACATCAGGAGGAAAACAACAGTCAAAGACCAGGTAATCAGGCTAAGGAAGGAAGGAGGAGAGACAACAAGAAATGACCGTGAAGTATGTGAGGAACTCAACAAGAGATTCAAAGAAGTGTTCACAGAGGAGACAGAAGGGGCTCCAGAAAGACGGAGAGGTGGGGTACACCACCAAGTGCTGGACACAGTACACACAACCAAGGAAGAAATGAAGAGGCTTCTGAGTGAGCTAGATACCTCAAGGGCAATGGGGCCGGATAACATCTCTCCATGGGTCCTGAGAGAGGGAGCAGAGGTGCTATGTGTACCCCTAACAACAATATTCAATACATCTATCGAAACAGGGAGGTTGACTGAGGCATGGAAGACAGCAAGTGTAGTCCCAATATTTAAAAAAGGAGACAGACATGAAGCACTAAACTACAGACCAGTGTCACTGACATGTATAGTATGCAAAATCATGGAGAAGATTATCAGGAGAAGAGTGGTGGAACACCTAGAAAGGAATGATCTCATCAACAGCAGCCAACATGGTTTCAGGGATGGGAAATCCTGTGTCACAAACCTACTGGAGTTATATGACATGGTGACAGCAGTAATACAAGAGAGGGGTGGGCGGAATGCATTTTCTTGGACTGCAAGAAGGCGTTTGACACAGCTCCACACAAGAGATTAGCGCAAAAACTGGAGGACCAAGCAGGGATAACAGGGAAGGCACTACAATGTATCAGGGAATACTTGTCAGGAAGACAGCAGCGAGTCATGGTACGTGGCGAGGTGTCAGAGTGGGCGCCTGTGACCAGTGGGGTCCCACAGGGGTCAGTCCTAGAACCAGTGCTGTTTCTGGTATTTGTGAATGACATGACAGAAGGAATAGACTCCGAAGTGTCCATGTTTGCAGATGACATGAAGTTGACGAGAAGAATTCATTCAATCGAAGACCAGGCAGAACTACAAAGGGATCTGGACAGGCTGCAGACCTTGTCCAGCAATTGGTTCCACAGTCGGAGTACAGTCTAGGGGGCCAGAGACTACAAACCTCACTCAAGGAAAAAGATCTTGGGGTGAGTATAACACCAGGCACATCTCCTGAAGCGCACTTCAACCAAATAACTGCTGCAGCATATGGGCGCCTAGCAAACCTCAGAACAGCATTCCGACATCCTAATAAGGAATCGTTTAAGACTCTGTACACCATGTATGTTAGGCCCATATTGGAGTATGCGGCACCAGTTTGGAACCCACACCTAGCCAAGGATGCAAAGAAACTAGAGAAAGTGCAAAGGTTTGCAACAAGACTAGTCCCAGAGCTAAGAGGTATGCCCTACGAGGAGAGGTTAAGGGAAGTCGACCTGATGACACTGGAGGACAGGAGAGATAGGGGGGACATGATAATGACATACAAAATACTGAGAGGAATTGACAAGGTGGACAAAGACAGGATGTTCCAGAAATGGGACACAGCAACAAGGGGACACAGTTGAAAGTTGAAGACACAGATGAATCACAGGGATGTTAGGAAGTATTTCTTCAGCCACAGAGTAGTCAGTAAGTGGAATAGTTTGGGAAGCGATGTAGTGGAGGCAGGATCCATACATAGCTTTAAGCAGAGGTATGATAAAGCTCACGGTTCAGGGAGAGTGACCTAGTAGCGATCAGTGAAGAGGCGGGGCCAGGAGCTCGGACTCGACCCCCGCAACATCAACTAGGTTAGTACAACTAGGTGAGTGTACACACACACACACACACACACACACTAACACACACACACACACACTAACACACACTAACACACACACACACACACACACACACACACACACACACACACACACACACACACACACACACACACACACAACACACACACACACACACACACACTAACACACACACACACTAACACACACACACACACACACTAACACACACTAACACACACTAACACACACTAACACACACACTAACACACACACTAACACACACACTAACACACACACACTAACACACACACACTAACACACACACTAACACACACTAACACACACTAACACACACACACACACACACACTAACACACACTAACACACACACACAAGAGGCAGTCAGCTGGCGCAGTGCACTGTTTACCTCACTGTGGAAGCATTTCTCTCTTTTTTGCTTGCATTTTATGTAGTTATTTTGCCAAATGTCTTTTTTCTAACCATTGGTCCTAAGAATGCAAGTGCAAAGGACAATGCTGAGAAGAAAAAGATGATGATGTCCGTGGAATTAAAGCATGAATTCATAAATAAACAAGCGAGGTAGATTGAGGGGGAAGTGAGGGAAGCTCGCTCGTAACTCGTTTGTTGGGACACTCGGACACTCGTAAGTCAAGGTTCCACTGTATATCCACTAGTTGTATGCAACACAATAACTGCACAAACATTGTTATCATTATCATGTTTACAAAACGTCTTTACACAAACCAACAATAAAAAAGTTATTACTTTTGTTTTATAATATACACATAGTCTCTGGACACGTTCCTGGAACGGCCTCCTTTGTTGTGGATGTGCTGGCTGGTGTCACAATGACTAATTACTACCACCCATTACCCACACCCTCTTCCCCAACAAACATGTGATCTTCCCCACCACCCACATGGAAATAAATCACTTTGACATTTTTAGGTTATCCTAGATTGATGGTTGTCTGGGTTGTCCTTCCTTCCTACCTTCCTTCCTTCCTCTCATCTGTTCCTTCCTTCCTCTCATCTCTTCGGTCCTTAATCTCATCTCCTCCCTGCCCCTCTTCTTCCTTTTCTTCCTTGCTTCCTTCATTTCTTCATTGCTTCCTTCATTTCTTCCTTCCTTCCTTCTGGTTTCCTGAGCATTGCTTTTGGTCACAAACTCCTCAAAACCATGAAATTCATCTTCACTGACACTTCCATCTGTGTTAGAGCTGTCACTTGGGAAGAGAAGTCCCAGATTCACTGGGGAGTCGGATATTTCTTACTGCTAGGCTTGCTGAACAAGGACTACTGAAATGGCATTCCCACAATGCACCACTTTTTTTTTACACTGCACACACTGACCACGCAGACCCATTCTCTCACATGTAGGCCTACCAGCTTTCTCCCACTAGATATGAAGCCGCTAGAATTGTGGCGTATTAATGTCACCAACACTGGCTCATAAGACGTATCTATACGGCACCAACATTGAAAGGGTTAATACTATCTTCTTTATATTCATAGAAATGCATACCTTTGTGTAGCCTTTTTTCATGGTATTGGGCAGTCTTCTTTATCTGTTCTTTCATGTCTTTATATATGTGACTATTATGTTTCTGCTTCTCCTCCCATCTGCCAGAGGTGGCATGTTTAACCCTTTGATGGGTCCAGACTC